TTTGCGACGGCTAGCGATTATTCCCTCAATTGATGGTGCTTATGAGATGGTGAAGCGCCACCAAACGCGGGAACCTTCGTAACAGAGGTCAATGGTAGAAAAGAAAGTTATTGTATAAGTAATTCAAAAAAAAAATTATATCAGCTACCAAAAGATTTCTTCAACGCGACGATAACCTATAGAAACGACTCCAACTATCATTGCTACGGGAATATTCGTTAACGCGAGAGACGACGACGAACGCTTGGTCTCAAGAAAAGTTAGGCGTATTTGATCATAATGTATTTTTAAAATCAAGGTTTTTTTTGATTTGAAAGCGAAGAACCAGAAACGATATCGATCCGATCCTGGACATAGGGGAACGTGTCTAAATTCTATCTTCCCTCAAACTCGTAGAAGCACTTCATCGCCGTTTGGCCCATACTATGCCTTGTGGGCAACCGATGTGTAGAAATCAACATTTGTATTTTATTTCATTTTTATCCAGATAGAGTAATCTGGTATCATTATGTCGCTTGGCGAGGTTAAGAGGATCGCTTGCTTGAGGGCTCTGTCTGGTGTTGACCGAATGCATCAAAATCGTCTGGGAAACGACGGACGGGGATTGCCAGTTACATGGATAGATAGTGAAGGATGTTATATATGTAGAAAGAATCGTTCCGGCATCAGTGGTGTCACTTCCAGAAAAAGAAAAATTCAGAGCATTAGTGGTTGCTCTCTTTAGTCTTTATTTATCACCCGTTTCTTCACTTGGATGTGGCAATTTCTCGTCTTGGAGGACATATTGTGAAGGGAGTAGATGGAGTTTAGCATGTCACGAATCCAGGATTTGAATACCCTAGGAAGTTTTTGCGGCGATGTGTGGAGGAGTGGTTGAGCATGTAGTTATCATGATACATAGACCAGTTAAAGGCACACTCAGGCACGGATTTGCGGGGTAAGAGCGATCGATAACGGATGTGAGTGTGCATTGTTGAATGGAAATGGAAGAAACAGCGAAAAAACCCGCGATGAAGCCTAAACAGGAACCTCCACTCTTCCAGTAACATCTCGGCCTTAGCCTTTCAGGGGAGGTGCAACCGGACGAGTTTTCCGAACTTGATATTAACACTTTGCTAGATTCATTTCATTGCTAGACTCATTTCATGCACACTCGCCTCGCAGCTGCGGTGAACCCCACAGCTGCGGACAAGTCGGCCCGTGCATCTCGTGCAGCTTGGTTTAGAAGACTCTAGCGCCTTTTTCGGGCGCTTTCGTTGCACGGGACTGTTACGTTCGTGATTGTCTGCTGGGGCACTACCTCACAGGACGAAGAGGACCGCTCACACGGATTCTGCCTGGGGTATCGCTTTAAGTGTTGAGTGGTCTGGGAGAGTGTGAATTCGAAGGAATCACTACGTTATCTATGCAGACCGTGGAGTAAAGCCTTATTACCATTATATAGAGTCCGGAATAGGGATGTTCTTTTTCAGATCGGGATGCTTTGCCAAGAAAAAACCGAGAGGAGCTCTAATTGTTTGATGAGCCCATGTTCCACCAATCGAGTACGAGATCCATCATACGGTATGTCTGATCTATTCCACAAAATATGATATCACATGCTGTGTAGCATTCCTGTAAGCAAAATGATTTTGTTTCCTCTATGTTTTTTTAGCAAGTTGAATCCTTCGGGGCCTTCCATAACGGCTTTGAGAGGAAAGTCACTGAGAAGGTATTGAAATGTCAACAACGTACTCGTAACTGTCTCTTCTCTGGTAGTTCCTTTGAGCACGAGTTTATGCCTAACCTGCAGATTGGGAAGGTGCAACTGAAAGAGCGTTAGAAGGAGTAGAGCAGAATTACGTCGATTCAAGGCGGCGTCATAGAGGGGCGTAGAACGGGCAAGAGCAGGTCGAAATAGCCTAGTTTATACGGCCGACCAAACAGACAACACAAAACGACAGACCACAAGACCAACAACACCCAAAGACTATGATGCTGTTAACTTTTTTTGTATACATATTGGTGTGCGACAAAACTTAGGGACGGGAAGCAACTTTCACATGATATCTGATTGCTACCTAACCCAGGTCGATCAAATATGGCACGTACATAGAAGTATATGTTATGTTGTACAGTGCAATGTGTTGCAGAAAAGCGCAACAAAGACATTTCTCTTCAATCCTGTCTTGAAGCGGTCGCATGAGTGAGTGCTGCTCCAATTCATGGTAGACACTCGAAAGAGAGGAGCTGGTTTTTGATGGGGTATATGAACACTACGGACTCTAAAGTGTGGTCTGCCACCTAGTCCAATATGGCCACGAGGTCCGTAATAATCTAATGTGGAGTGAAGCGATCCATTGAAACTGTGCGTGCACTGTATATTAGATGCTGGCGCATGAGGAAGGTACCAGTAGCGTTTCTGAATGCAGCCACGTGCTTTATGAGATTTTCTAGGGTAGGCGGCAGGACTTCACCATCCCGGAATCCCGCTTTCAGATTTTTCAACTAGGTGTCGATGCTCCCGCACTCTGTCTTCATACGTTGAGTGAATGGTAGCATCGTTGAATAGATGTCATAGGCTAGAAGTAGAATGTTTCAAGTAACGTCATAGGGGAGGCATCCACGGCAAGGAGTGGAAGTTGGTTTCCATCTGCGATTATGCGTCCCACACCTATCGACTTGATTCACACAATCATGTTTAACATGGCCTGGGTGCTTAGGACTACCTCGTACATGCGGTATAAGTCCAAAATCACTATTATTCAGTTTATTTATGAGAAAAAGACACGCGATCAACAAAATCGGTGGTCCATCACTAATGTCCCGGCACCCAGCGCCCCCGCCAGCGCGGGCTCAGAAGGAACACCAGGTACTGTCGGTCAAAGAGACCATGCCCAGAGATACGGTTCACATCACCACTGTTTACCCTGGGTCACGCTTTGCAATCCTGATGGATAATGTTTCAACAAGCAGCCTGTGACTGACGTAGGTCAATTTTGCCTGTTGCAAAACGTAGCAATCACCTGCTGTTGCAGTTGATCGTGATCCACCACCTACTCTTCTAGGGCAGCAGTGGCTGCAGTCCATATTGCTCCTTATGCGCACAAAACAATGGTGTGAGCAACATCAAACTCCTGGACCACACTCGTTACAAATCTTCCTTCTTCCAGTTTCCTCGCGTAAAGTCACCCTCGTGTTGTCTCTGAGACTTGCTGTGATCAAGAACACCACTACATTCCACAGTAACTTCTCCCTGCTCAGTACACTCCCTCTTGTCCTGTCCCATCAAAACCCTTTTATGCCCATGGCTGTAGGGCTTTCAGCAGTAAGCTTGCAGGGGTTCGTTCAATTCCATCAAGTTGTCAATAAGTTATGTGTCATTGTCAATCAGTTATGTGTCATCCATCTCGTGCCTAAGTTTTCCACGCCGGTGTAGTTTCGTAAATTGGCATAACCAGTGCACTTGTACAGTAGTCTACTGCGTATTTGCAAAGGTTCCACTCCTCCACGCAATGGTGAAACGTGCCTTTGAATCGAAGATCCACGATGCAAAGACTTCATTTGGGAAAGTAACTGAGTAACTGCTGAGGTTATAGTCGGCTCGCTATTGTGTTTTCAGGAGGCTATCAAAGAAAATAAAGATTACTGTTGGTGGGCGATGTAGTGCCAATTTTCCTGGCGCTAAAGAAGTTTTCTGTCCGAAGTCAATGAAAGGTGGTAAATGCGAACGGGACCTCATCGGTTCGTGTTTTTACTTTGATTTATTTTTATATTTTACTAACTTATTTGTTTTTTATATTTATTTTGTATGTTTGGCGGAAGTGGTGTAGTGGCAAGTGGCACGCTTACCACGCGAGCGGTCCGGGATCAAATCCTGGGTCGTGAGTCGCCCGGGCCAACCAAGCCTTCCATCCCTCCGGGGTCGGTTAATTGGTACCATTATGGCCACATCGCATTCAAACGCCACTACGAATGTACAAATGGAAGTAGAATGCGTGCCGCATCCCAAAAAGGGATTGATCAACGGCAAATGCTTTATCCTTTTATCTTTTATATCTATTTTGCTTTTATTTTATATACTTTATATTATTGTTTCCTTTATTTATTTATTCATCATTATACAATATAATTTCTATAATTTATTTTTAGTTTATTCATTAGCATTGAGAGACAATTCGATGAGGTTCGCTTCTTAAGAAGCGCTGGCCAGAATCTCCGCGCTGCGACATCTCGCCGAGGCTGGGCTCCGCCCTAATGACACGCTTCTGTGGTAAAAAATGTGCGTGAAACAACCTAAGATGTCACTTTTCCTTTGTTGCCGCAATTTAAAGGCATGCTCCGGGATTAGGCGCGCTCGCCTGTTCCATCCCGGGGGTAGTAGGCAGGCGGACAAGCGTTGATGTCGCGCCCCTTTTGCGGCTTGAAAGTGCGCGACAAAGGCGCAAGGAGCTCGTCCGACCCGCAACTCACACCTTCGTCCGCAAGCCCCACCCTCCGCTGTCGGTTGCCACGTGGCGCTGCTTGAAAGCGCGGTTTGAGTTAGCAGTCCCAATGTCATTGGCACTAGAGCAAGTAGAGTTAGGTTTGTGAAACTTCCCTTCTCTATTCCAAGGTGGAATGCTGCCGAAATAGCAAGATCTACGTTGATGCTTGCTGGCTGGTTTCGTTTGCTTTTCTTCGCTTTTCTGCACCGGCTCCAGCTTCACAACTGAACGCTTGTGCACATCTATATTATTCTGGATCTTGCCTTTAAGTCTACGACTGACACGACCTATAACGCTTCAGCCTGAGTGGGATGGGAGACGCATCACATGATATCTCTGCTTTGATTTTTTATCGGCACCAACGTATTGTGATATGATGAATCTAACATATTACAACAAATTAATTGATGCAAAACTGCATTCAGATGACATAGCAAGTGGATAATCCCAGTTTCTTCAGCAGCACACCGATTCTATATCGCCTTCGAAAACAGCTTATGTCGCAACTACATTACGGAGAAGTTTTTCGAGCGTATGACCAACCTTATGATCCCAATTGTGCTGGAAAGGAAATTTTATGAAGGTGGTTCCCAAAGTCTTTACATATCAACCACGTTTATCGTTTATATTTATCTCAACCACGTGGGTTTTAATAGTTACTGAAGAAATGCTCTGCTCCTGTGCAAAGTTAGATTATAAGTTAACTATGATCGGAATACAACAGTTATCGAGTAGGCTATAGATGACGTTATTAAGACCATTTATTGCACTGAACACAAGCAAACGCATCATGTAGAAGCATTCTCACGAGATCATCAAAGATACGAAAACCACACGTGAAAGTACAAGAAAGCTTCCGAACCGTATCTATTGGTAGCTATGTATGTTAAGATAAATTTATTTATATTTAAACTTGCTTAACTACATAGCTTCCTATTTGAATAAGGTGAGCGAAAAATTCCGTGGCGATTTCGCTACAAACGTTGGCTATTGACATGTTAAGGGCACAGGCCGTCATGAGGTCCCCCCTAAGAATGAAGTAGCTGGTGCAACAGCAGAATTGACACCTTCTCAAATGGAAATTTGAGACACGGGTGCCAAAAGCTTATAAATCGCAGTCATTCACACCCAGATCCACGCCCGGCCATCGTTGCGGTAGCGTCTGCGTCCTGACCATACCAACTTCATGTCCACTCTTTTGAATCCAGCTTTTTCTTTCTTGCAGGTATGCACACTTCTTAGATCAAAGGAATTGTTCATGACCAAGTTCTTGCACTCCTTCTCGACATTAATACGTCAGTTGTTTTCACAAGAAAAATAAGCAGAATTTTGGGCGAAATTTCGGCTTTTGAAAAAATCCTACGAACCTACGAAAACCACGCTCTATGAGCGTCGGTAGATTGGGTGGAGCCAAAGGGGCGCGAGAAAAGAAGTGCGTCTTGGGTAGGCCACGTATAAGACGGCGCATTGGAAGGGTCGTCTCAAAACCTTCTAATCTGATGAATATGTAGAGGCAAAACGGTCGGAATTTAAGGAATCATGAATTGTCCTCGTTAATTTTGCAGAAGTCCTCAACGTGGCCATTTTTTGAATACTGAACGGATCAAGCACGTTTAAGAGTTGCTCAGTAGAGCAAATCTTCTAGTTTATGATGACGTGTTAAATTTTCAGATTGGCCGAGTATGAACGGAGTTAGAGATTGAGAAGTACACTTTGTGTGGTACTAATTGTAAGACTAGGTCAGCCTTTCAGAAGAAATAAATTAAGAAGAGATGCTATCATAGTATAGTTTTTTGCTCCGTTTCTTGTTAGGACTCATTGTGAATGATTTTTGTCCGACTTTTTCTTCTAGTTGAACGGCTTTTAAGGTAGAGGCGGAGTAGCAGGGTTTCTTGATGAAAGGTTTTCGAAGAGGATTAAACAACTTTTCATGCTTTAGGCTTGCGAGAAGTTAGGGAGAGTCGTTTCATGGACTTCGGCCGCGGGGGGGGGTCGTATTTCAAAATTTCTCTCCACGCCTCGCTTGACCCTGATGGGTAATTCTACCGCGCATACCAAACTACCATAGACACGGTGCCTGCAATGCCCTTGCTACGCACCCCAACAACACTTTTCATTCTTACGCTATCGTTATGGTGATCACTAGCACACTTACGGTCACGCCCTCCCGATCCATGATGAATGCTTTCAAAGCTGCTTCAACTCACAATCACATCTCCCCGTTGCTCAGATAATGGCATACCACCGAATTCATTCATTGCCTTGGATGATTTCAAAACCGACGATGACCTAGCAGCGTATCTGGATGTGGTCCTGCACAACGACAAAGAATATCTCAAGTGAGTTTCACTACCGGCAGTTTCACTGAAGATTTATGTAGAAGCCCTTATCAGGCCACTACCGTAATCGTAAACTAGCCTCTGAAGGCAATTCCCTTATCATTGTCGATGGCATTAAAATACATGCTCCGAGATTAGATTACTAGGTTAACCCGTTCGATGAGTAGGATAAGGCTGTTTGCAATGGTTACCAATGCATGGTTCACACGGCTCGAAGTGGGCATCGAGGATGTTAAAACCTTGCCATATCTAAGACTAGTGAGCATAAACAGTACTTCTATCGCACTCTTCTAGCGGTTGTGTACCTGCGCCCTCTCGTACCGCGTGCTCAGTCGCGCATTCTCGCTGCTTTTATTCATCGTGTCTTTCCTTCTTTCCACGGCCGACCTTACAGAAATTTTTAAGTCGTGGTTGTTGTGTTTTCTGTTTCTTGCATTTTCGATTTCATATCTTCGCTCTGTCCCTCTACTCTCCTATTGAGCGCTTTTGCACAGCATCTTTGTCCTGAGGCGTGCCTTGGAGAATGAGCGCCTTCAACGGGAGCTCGAGTCAGGACAGGGTCAGGTTGTCTGAGTCACATACACTTTAAAAATAATGTGTAAATGAATTCTTAAGCTCAAACATGTTGCCCCGATGCCCGATTTGAAGGACTTAGGCTGCTCACCGCGGAGCCTTCGCGAGCGCGATGCGCCATTGTTGTGTATCCTAAAATCCGGACATGTGGGCATACGCTCAGCAGCCGCTCACATCGAAATACAAGTGAAGCCGAAAGGTTTTGATTATCTTTCGCAATCAGATACCTCTAGCTGACGCTTTCACTACCAGTGATTCAAATGTCATCATAATCACGATGCTACACTGGTGTATCACAAGGAAGTAAGAGACATGCAGCAATTAGAAACGGAAATTGTTTTACAGCAAACGACTTGCACCTTCGACCTCTGCGACTCTTTGCTCATTTAAAGTCTAAACCGACGGTCAGTCACCTTCTCAATGACTGTCATCAACCAGTGACCAATAGACCAACGCAGGCCCCTTTGAGAATCAGAGGCGCCTGGGAAAAAGGAATTGACCCTCTCCCTAAATTTCAATATATAGGTTAGGTTAAAACACCACAACAAGAACACGGGTACCTTGAGGCTTGTCAGCAGTGTAATTATTTGTTTTCATCGTTTTTCGGACCACACAGCCACTAACATAGGATCAGAACTAAACCGCTGACCAACCTGAGATGTTGATCTTTACAACGGTTCGTATTTCCAAAGGTGAAATTAACCTACAGTTGCTTAAGTGGAAAAGTGGCTATCTATAGGTGATCAATTGTCTCTGTTAGCAACACAATAGCATTGCCACCTGTCCGCAAGGCTCTGGGAACATAGAGTAGCCCCTTCATTCATTTATTTGCAGGTCCAGTTGTGAAAATACCACAATGCGTTTCTGGATTCAGGTACTTTGAGTGGACGAAGCACTATCGGAAACCGACGAGCTATGTGAGTGATGCTGGATGTAGACTGTGCCGAGATCTTCACCAGCGGAAGAAACTTCGCATAGAAAACATCGAGACCTTCTACGTGAAGGATCAGTGTGGAAAAGCTTACTCGTAATGTTAGCAGTTATTGTAGTTATCCGTTTAATAAAATCTGTGAAGACATGTTAAACCAGCATATAGGAAATTCACGTGACAAAAAAGAAGTAAGCAATAATACAAATTAAATAAAAGGTATGGAACGAAGTAACCCTTTTTTGTGGTGGTAATGAGCCGCTGTAGTCTGTTGCGCGAAAGTGTTGAAAAACGAATTAAAGTGTTGACACTGACGTCATCTATCGCTGAGTTTCTCCAAGCATGGGAATCACTGGTAGGGAAGGACTCCCATTTCGCAGTTCGATTTCGCTTTGTCACTGCACCATTTTCCACCTCCTTTTCCAGTTTCAAAAGCGAGTGTCGTGCTGTCTGCCTTCAAAGACTGATTACGAGTGCGATGGCTGAAAAGCGAAGGTGTTATACCTTCATGATGTTGTCTGTCTTTGGTGGAAAGGCGCTAAGAGGAGTAGTTGGGCCCACTTCCCTACTTGTTGTACCAGGGACGTCCATAGACTTTAGCTGAATCTCCACAATTTGCGTCACTCCCTTGCCAAATTGTTTTTTTTTCAACCAGAACTCGGCGGTCAACCACCGTGTCATGAAATCTAGCCTCTTTTTACAGCCGAGACGTTGGAAAACTCAAAGACAATTTATGATTGCGTTGGGAGTACGTCTGACTGATTTTCTCATCCTCTCGGGAAAATTCTTCTCGAAAGTAATGTTGTTATTTTCGTGGGCTGATCACCTTATTACGCAGGAATAAAGTCCAACTCATTCACAGCGAATATAAAAACAAAACAGATGAACAAATAAGGCAGAGAATATCCTTACGTATTATGTACCGCTTGATTTAATACGATGGCCTTTCAGGGTAAGAACTTCAATTCAATATCGGTATGGCCAGTCGGTCAACCAGAAAAAAAACTATTGATAAAAACCATTGATAAGATACACAACGAAGCTTTTAAACAACCTAATAGCAGCATGTTCAGGAGATGTTATAAATATTAGGTCGGTCCATAAGTCTTGCAACAAACTACATTTAATGCTATAGAATTTTAGGGAGAACTCCTGAAAATCCGCAACATATTTCCTGACGTAGCATCAACCTTTGCAATTTCAGCCAACGGTCCAGCTCGTTGTCTGCTTACTTATTATGGATATTACACCGATTTCGCGAGAGGGCTCTCGGTGCCCTTAATTTTTACGAGTACTGCTTGGAATGTTCCGCAAGTCATGCTAGACCAAGGATTGGCCAGAAGATAGGCGAGGGCACGCTCTCTCAAACCACAGTGCAACGGCGCTTCACTCTGCTCAGCGTTGACTTTTTTATTTGAAAATAACCCACACTCCAACCACCCTGTGACTGACAATCACGATGCTCTATCTGACGCTGTTGAAAAGGGATCTGGATAGAGTATCGATCATTTGCTAGAGCGATTCCGATGCGACAAGGAGACAGCACTGTGGCATCTCCAAAGACTTGTGAAGATCCGAAAATGTAGAGTTTGGTCCCCACGTGCCTTGAGCCCGATTCAGCTCCAAACACGATCTGACACCGTTATGTTCAAGTCGACTTACTAGGGATTCTACGATTGACCATCCATCACATTTGCCGAAGATGAGGAGTGGGTACAGTTGCTAACAAATGAACAAGCGGCGGTAGTCCAGCTCAAACGCTTCGGGAGATCTTACTTGCTTAAGTTCAACCTCGTCCAAGTAGGGCCTTCTCGGATTTTTGGTGGAACACGGGAGGAGTTAAGCTCTGGAAACCCCTACGTGTAGATGTCGCAGTCAACGCGAAAGTCAACTATCCACAGCTCGAATGCAACGCTTTTAATACGAAAGAAAAACAAGGCAAAGTTTGCTTTTGTATGACACCGTTGAACCACCTCTTGCTAAGAAAATTCAAAAATTTTTTGAGACTCTAGGACGGAGAGTTCTTCTGTATCCACGTTATAGCCCTGACCTCGTGGCAAATAATGCCCTTCTGCTCCCCTCTCCAAACCATCTCCCGCGCCCTAACAGAAGAACCTAACAGGTAGCAATGTTTGGCGCATGTATATAGGGTCGGTCCATAAGTCTTGCAACAAACTACATTTAATGCTATAGAATTTTAGGGAGAACTCCTGAAAATCCGCAACATATTTCCTGACGTAGCATCAACCTTTGCAATTTCAGCCAACGGTCCAGCTCGTTGTCTGCTTACTTATTATGGATATTACACCGATTTCGCGAGAGGGCTCTCGATGCCCTTAATTTTTACGACTGCTTGGAATGTTCCGCAAGTCATGCTAGACCAAGGATTGGCCAGAAGATAGGCGAGGGCAAGCTCTCTCAAACCACAGTGCAACGGCGCTTCACTCTGCTCAGCGTTGACTTTTTTATTTGAAAATAACCCACACTCCAACCACCCTGTGACTGACAATCACGATGCTCTATCTGACGCTGTTGAAAAGGGATCTGGATAGAGTATCGATCATTTGCTAGAGCGATTCCGATGCGACAAGGAGACAGCACTGTGGCATCTCCAAAGACTTGTGAAGATCCGAAAATGTAGAGTTTGGTCCCCACGTGCCTTGAGCCCGATTCAGCTCCAAACACGATCTGACACCGTTATGTTCAAGTCGACTTACTATGGATTCTACGATTGACCATCCATCACATTTGCCGAAGATGAGGAGTGGGTACAGTGTGCTAACAAATGAACAAGCGGCGGTAGTCCAGCTCAAACGCTTCGGGAGTTCTTACTGCTAAGTTCAACCTCGTCCAAGTAGGGCCTTCTCGGATTTTTGGTGGAACACGAGAGGAGTTAAGCTCTGGAAACCCCTACGTGTAGATGTCGCAGTCAACGCGAAAGTCAACCATCCACAGCTCGATTGCAACGCTTTTAATACGAAAGAAAAACAAGGCAAAGTTTGCTTTTTTATGACACCGTTGAACCACCTCTTGCTAAGAAAATTCAGGAAAATTTTGAGACTCTGGGACGGAGAGTTCTTCCGTATTCACGTTATAGCCCTGACCTCGTGCCAAATAATGCCCTTCTGCTCCCCTCTCCAAACCATCTCCTAGAGAAGAAAGCTCATCCTAACTATGATGATGTCAAAATCGACATCTGATCTTATTACTCTTCCAAAAGACCCGCGTACCAAATAATAGGCAAATAATCACCGATATCGCTTATATGTACTCAGACCGAAAAACCATCCAAAGTGAAAACTGAAATTTAACATTTCACGGTGAGTCCTCAAAAGAAAGGCACTCCTGAGAAGAAAAAAAAACGCAAAACGTTCAAGATACGATTTGTCGCTTTCTGCTGGGAATATTCCGCACTTCATGACTGCTTTGGCAGGACGCTTGCTACAGCGAAAGTGCCACATATCGTCTACTCGGACCTTCCTCCACTACTTATGTCTCTCTTTCACGAACATCAAAATACCGAGTTATGAGTTTTGTGTGATGGAAGCGTGAAGTCTTCACCGGCGGTAGATAAAAATTTCAGACCGATTCTAGTCCGTGAAGAGAGTGGCGAACACTGTGTTTGTTTCAACCAGGAGGCTAATATTACTTGTAAAAGCACCATTACTTGATCAACAGAATTTAGAGCTGCAGTGTAGAATGGTGAGAGGCCCTCGCGAGGGCGCGCTTTGTGCAGAATTGGATACACACAGTGACTTCGCTCAGTCTAAATCACAGATTGCTTTCCTCTGTTTCGACCAAATGTTGCACTTCAGCTCTTATCTCCACCTTCTCGTCTTTGGCTCTTCTTTTCTTGCCCTTTCTTTCCCCAAGTTCATCTATGATTCGTTTCATTTGTGCTCCTTATCTCTTTTGGCTCTTTCTTCTGCAGTGTTCATTTAAATGTATCTCTCTCACTAGCGCTATGAAAGTTTTTTCATGTTCCATTAATTTCTAATAATGTGCGTCTTGTACGTCGAAATTAGGTCGTACTTTCATTTTTTCTTCGCGAAAGATCTCTCCGCTTTGTTGTTTATCTCGAAGAGATTGAAACGGAGGGTTCTCCACCAACAGCAGCTTTTTTCGCTTTTCTACTGCTTTCAGATCTTTCGACCCGCGCCTTCTCCTGCTATATATTATTGGGTCGACAAACATCTTACCGCAAATTAAAACAACATCTAACTTATATAATATCCTAGTATTTCTGTCGATTAGTCCAACTTACTGCCTAGTGTTTCCATTCTACAAAATTGTAGAATCTAGTGTTGTTGCTCACCTGTAAGTCCGAGTGGGTAATTTGAAAGAAGTTATGGGATTTCGGTCAAACATAAGAATCATCGAACAATTGGCATGTGCCACGTATGAGGCGATATAAACTAATCTTCAAAGAAGCGTTCTTGACCGGTATTAACTCTGAACGCTTACGTCTGTCTACTCTAAGAATTATTGACCACCGGAAAGAAGGTATATGATCCAATTATTGGTTATCTCTCCTTCCTTTTTTGTTGCGATCGATACGCTTCGTACGTCTACTTTTGCACTGAAGTAGAAGCGCGACATCAGTTCGATCGTGTGGTGAACCCTCAAATGCCCTCAACACATGGCTCTGCCATAAGGTGACCTATTCAAAGAATGGGTCTTTTTTCGATTACTGAATCATTTTTGTGTTACTGTGAAAACTCGAGGTCCAGCACAATACAGAAAGTCCGAAAAGTTAGCAAAGGGCCGAAAGAATCGCTGTTTCAGAGAATCGCCTGTTCTACCACATCTTTCATGACAATAAAACGATTTGTTCCTCATTGCGCAAAAAAGGAACCGCTTAAAGACAAGATTATGATGAGCATTACGCGGACTCTATCAAGCACAGTTCTTTAATCTCCGTCGAAGATGGCAAGATACACATAGATTGCTAGCCTAGAGGCTAGCAAGGCTCACTATATAGAGACCAACTCTTCACCCCAGGGAGCCTCAGTCACAGACCGTTTAATTAAGTCTGCAAGTACGCTACTCATGAGATTTCTTGTCGATGCTTCCACACTTATCTATCATAGCGGATTTACC